TGACACTAATCTATAATTTACATTACATTAAAGGGACACTATATTTCCCAGAACGACTGGAGCTTAATGAAGTGGTTCTGGTGTCTATAGCTGGTCCCTGCAGACTTTTTAATGTAAACACACACTGTGGGCAGCACTGGCGTTAGTTCATATGGCAGCTCATATAGGTGGGGCATTGTGATGTCACATGGGGGGCGGGAAATACAGCTGTTCCCCATGCAGCCACAGGTGCCACTGTGCTGGGAGATTGTGATTACTCTTCACTTCCTCCCAGCTTACAGAGCAGAGCATGGGAGAGAGAGAGGAGGAGGTATGATTTAATCTTACAACAAATCCAGTAAGCAAATCTTTATAAATTTGGGTGGGATCAGCTCTGTTTCCACAGTTTATTGGTGTTTACTCTGATGTCTGTATTAATATTGAGGGATTTCTAAGTAGTAACATCAGTGTGTGTCAGCAGGGCCAACCGTTGGGGTGTGCACGCTGTGCGGTCACGCAGGGTGCCATCACAACAGAGGCACCCGGCGGACAACACAGCTCACAAGTTGGGGACACCAGCCTATTCAATTTAAATGATTCGCTGGTGGTCCACTGGTACGCACCAGCAGTAGGTGCAGTCAGATTATAGCCTCTCCCTCGTGGTTCCAGCGCTCAGTTAGTGAGTCAGAGCACAGGCTCAGAGATTCTCAGCCTGCGCTCTGACAACATTGAAAGTCAGAGCCGTGAAGGAGCTGGGTATGGCAAAGAGCTACTGATTAGCATAACATCAATATCCGTTATAAAACCAGGAAAAGGTGGGCACCATTGCACTGATTTGGTGGTGCAATGGGCCACTTGACTGGTTTTGCCCCCCAGGCCTAAGGCTGCCAGCCCTCCCCTGTTGCAGCCTCTGGGGCCTTTCAAAAAAGGTGTGTATATGTAATGACAGATCATGTGACACTTAGATTGCACACAGGTGGACATCATTTCACTAAGTATGTGACTTCTGTAGGTAATTGGTTGCACCAGAGCTTTTTATGGGCTTCATAACAAAGGGGGTGAATGCATACGCACATGCCAATTTTCTGTTTTATATTTCTAAAAAATAGTTTTATGTATATATTTTTCTCATTTCACTTCACAAACTTAGACTATTGTGTTCTGAACCATCACATAAAATTCAGATTAATAAAACATTGAACTTCAGGCTGTAATGTAACAAAATAGGTAAAAAGTTAAGGGGGGTGAATACTTTTGCAAGGCACTGTAAATCCAGGCCCTCCACCACAGTCTCAGGTGTCTTGCAGACTGAAACAGATTTTTCTCTAGAACTTGATAACTTTCCACGTCTATACCAAAAAGTCACAAACATAATATAAAAACCACCATGCTTCTCCATGGATGGAAATAGCCTAGTTGCTAACTGTCTCATTCCTGTTGGACAATTCCATATTTTGTGCTCCTGTCCTTGTAAAATTTTTGCAGGAAAGGACCCTGTACCAGACCAGGGCCCTGTCAGCTTGATGTATTCATGTGCATCCACTGTGTTGGAAGGAAGTGATTACACTTAATTTGCTCTTGGGGACACAGAGAGTGGTGTGGTGTGGGGGAGAGACAAAAGGTTGGAAAATAGAAGGTGGGAGAGAGCTGTACTTGGAATTGCCCTCTCTTCTAATACTTAGTCATTCCCGGACTACTCTCTGTCAGGGTCCCTACCCAATCAAAATTCCGAGAGGGGAGCACTGCTGTCCCGTTTGGCACAGAGTTCCTACTTCTCTCCTATCACCGATCGGGCAGCTTGTAGTTGTGGGCAAAATCTTTTCAGCATTTGGGGCGCTGCACGCACGCAGCGCCCAATGAAATATGCTCATCTGACACATGACATCACTTCCAATTCCCCTGGATGCATCATGCTTGCAACCTCGTTTCTGTACTTTTTAGGATTTCAGGGGTGATGTGTCAGATCAGATAAAATCTAAGTATATATAAGCTCTTTCCAGACCCTTAGTTTTTGCATGCACGCACACACACACACACACATCTAGTCCATATAAAAACATTCATATAGTCATACACAAGGATTCTACATGAATATACACCCCTGTCTAGATGGACAGTTACTAGAACTTGAGCTGGCAAAGCATCATGCAATATGTACAGGCAACACCATATGTCCATGTGGGTGAAGAATGTCCCTGTGGAGAGGGATGTGCTAAGGTAGAATGTAGCTGTGGGGAATGATGTACTAGGCAAAGAATATGATGGTACAGGAAAATGTACCGTGGGAAGGATGTGGTGGTGGCAGCATAGGTGGATGTGGCTATGGGTAAATGAACTACATATGGATGTTATGAGATAGTGCAAAGTGAATCTGTGGAAGGCATTGGTGGGTGGCTTAGATCTCGCTGCTTCTGTCCTTGCTACAATGAGTGAATTTGTGGTAAAATGTTCTAAAAAGTGATCATTTTCAGGGAGTGGCTAGCTGAGTAGCTGAGAGGACATGTGCCTGCGGAGCTCTGTGCCAGATCCGATATTAACGGCGAATACCTGTGTTTCAGTGCTCCAACTGGCAGAATTCTCTGTGTCCCCTGCCAGAGATGAAGATCCTGAGAATGTCAGACATCTGGCTTTACTTTAGAGGGACATGTTCCTTCAACTCCCACCAAGATGGCGCTCACAGAGGAAAGCAAGGAAGAGGCCTCAGAGGGATCCCAACATGAATAATCAAATCGACCAGAACAGGCGATAGCTACCAGGACTCCGACTCAGATTCCGATCACAAAAGGAGACATTAAGCATCTCCTGATAGACTTACGGAAGGTCTGTGTAGCGGAGCTGCAATCCTAAGATACAATATCTCCGCTGGAATCCTCTGGAGCTGGAAGAAAGTGCTGGTCATTGATTATAGCCCTTTCATCTCAGTAACTGGATGACACACAGTTCTGGGAGACAACTGATTCAGAGAAGTTTTGGCCAGCCACAAGGTGATGCCCCAAAAGAGTTCCAGGGAATCCAGGGTAGCGGCCAGTCTCTGTTTGGGCGTTCCTGCACGAACACTGACGAATACTCCCTCTAGCTCATAGGTAGCAAATCCTCCCCCCAGTCGGTAGTTCCTATCTCCAGAATGTGGTTTGTGTAGATAGTCGGGAAAATGTACAGACAGCAGTATCATCTTGGGTGGGGTAGACGAGAGCTCGATGACTAAGTACCGCTATCTGTGTTTGGGTGACAAAAATACGAATGGTGGCCACCCAGGGAAAGCACTTGAGTTAATCCTTTAATTGCAGTTAACAGTCAGGGGTGGTCGGTGTTCTGAGGCAATAAAAGAGGGGGACCACACAAGTTATTTTTGGTCCACAAACAGGGGGATACAAGACTGTTTGGGAAAACTCAATATGGGTTCAGGCAACTCCAGGAAATAATGCCAGGTCCGCCACAGTCTGGAAATCTGACCTCCAAGAGAGACAATCAGAAGGTTGCAGAGGTGGAATACAGACACTTGCCTGGACAGTATCTGCAATGGAGGCTCGATACAGAAGATGAAACATCCTCACAAGAAGTGTACCAGAGGCTATTGGTGGAGAGCCCTGCTGTCCTTTACTTATCAGCTGATAACCTCCATAGGCGTCAAAGGTGGTGGTGGCCAAAAGATGTTAACCTCTGTCTTCAGGGTCTGAAAGGCTGCTACAGCTCCTCAGGAGGTCCCAAGAGTCGTAATAGTGGTGACCAGAGACATTGTGTTTCAATCCTACTGATCTGTAGGGTAGAAGAGGGTTATTACTGTAATGGACTGGTTATCTCTGCTAATTCCTTCCTTCAGCCACTCTGGAACCATTAAAGCATACAGACATCCGTTCCCCCAGTAACCAGACGAAATATAGTTCTTGGAGTCAACTAAAAGTTTATTGGAAAACACACGCCTTTTATGCACAGACCCCCTACATGGGGTCTCCCATACAATAATACAGGGCTTTTCCTCCCAAGATCCTCTACAGAAAAATATACAATATTCTAAAACACTCCAAAAATACATTTTCAAAAGGGGCTAATTTGATTGCATGGGAGGTCAGAGCTTACAATACAAATTCCTCTTTGAAACTGGGACCCCAACTGAGCCAATCTGAAAGGTATGAGAAGTCACACACAAGTGGCCTGGAAGTCTGGCTTCAGTAGAAACTAACTCTCTCACTTGCCATATGTCCTGATTTCCTCCTAGATAAGGTGAACTTTGATATGAATAGTCATCAGCCCTCAAACAAACCCCCTGTGCTCTGGTATCATATTAAAGAGATACTAACACTTACCCACAGATTAACAACTAAGCCTAAACATGATATGCGAACAAAGGGGAAAAAACATACGAATGAGTAGTAGTTCTGCCACGATTACCTGCAGCCCTAAACGGACAAGTCTATAGATATCCATACTTGTTATATACTTTCTGAATGGCCATAGAGGAAATTAGCATTACATGTTGAATGTTCTTATTTTGCTTGTTACTTGTTAGTTGACTCATATAGTATTTAACTCCCTACTCCTCGTAGTGATAGCATCATATTTGTTTTGTGTGACCACCCCAAAAAGTGAGGTCTTGTGTCTGACTCGTGCTTACTGAGGAAAGTTGTCTTGAATAATTTATTTTTCGGACTTTGTGACAGTTGTATTTTGAGTATTAAATCTCTAATAAAATACAATAAAAAAATAAATAAAAATGTATAGTTTTCTTTCTAGTAGATTCAACCAGTTTTAACGGGAATTTACATTTCAGAAGCCTGCCCGGTTAACAGTGGCGGAGAGAAAAGAGACACCAAGCACTTTTCTGTCTGAAAAATTGTTGTAAATAAATGGTGTGTGTTCCAAAATGACAGAGTGTAAAGGAAGCATTGTTATCAATATTATCAGTATTAGCATTGTGCTCATAAATATTTTTAGAAAATAAGAAATGTAAAAAAATTATCCTTGGAATTTATCATATTGGGTAACTATATATCTCCCCCTCTATAATCACTGCCTCCATGATGGACACAGCTGGTTTGGGAGAGAATCAGTTAAACTGCCTCACTAGACAGGCAATAGCCAGCTCTATGCGTTTCAAGCCTCGATCTGGCACTGTATTCCATTACACGTTTGATTGGCTGCCGGGAACCCGGGCCACGCCCCTCTCGCCCGCCCTTCACCGCCCAAAGATGGCCGGTCGTTCAACTGCATCCAGTATACTATAGAGTATGTGAGCATTGTGACGGTCACAGGGCTGGGTATGGGCTGCCTCCTCTCTCTGCATACTTGGTTGGCCAATCAGAATGCAGCCTGAGACGAGGCTCAGCCAATGGGAATGTCAGTAAGGAGCGGCGCTGGTGCAGCGAGTTCCGGTGCAGCTCAGTGTGTGTCTTGGCGGTGGGTGGGGCGGAGCCCGCGGCTTTGGGAAGGGACCGGAGCGGATAGCTTTTATCTGAATCCAATGATACGGCCGGGGCGGCTCCGCTAGGGAGTCTGGCGGCCTGCTACGCCCTGCACCACACACCGGGACGGCGGGGACTACCTCCATCCAATAGCCAAGCGCGGCCAGCGGGACAGCCAGCACCTCGGGGAGGGAGAGGAGAAGGTGTCAGCATGGACCAGGCGGAGATCCTGAGGACTTTCATTCAGAGGGTGCGGGATATGGATAACAAGGACCACAATGGGGAGGATAACTTCGCCTGCGACTTCATGGTGAGAGAGAGAGAGAGCAAGACATGGGCTGGGCACAGGGATCACTAACATGCCATCTAATGGTCCTGCAGGGCTGGGTGTAACCTGGATGGGGAGTGCTGGATGTGATAGTGTGCATGGAAGTGTAATCCAAGGATAGGATGGATATGGGGGGCAGCTATTGGGGATAATGTGGATGGGGGCAGCTATTGGGGGTAGTGTGGATGGAGGGCAGCTATTGGGGATCATGTGGATATGGGGGGGAGGCAGCTATTGGGGATCATGTGGATATGGGGGGGAGGCAGCTATTGGGGATCATGTGGATATGGGGGGGGAGGCAGCTATTCTGGACAGTGAATATGGTGTGGGGGGAGGCATCTACTTGGGACTGTGTGGATATGGTGGGTTTAGGTGGGGGTATCTACTAGGGACAGTGTGGATATGGTGGGTTTAGGTGGGGATATCTACTAGGGACAGTGTGGATATGGTGGGGAGCTATTAGGGATAGTGTGGATGGCCGTTACTGTTTTCTCTTACAATGGGTGGGTGAAACATCGATTTTGATAAAGTACATTATTTCACTTTATGTAAGTACAGACATAGTACATTCCATTTGTGCACGTGTTGGGCTTCCAATAGAATGTTTAAAGTTGTCATGATTACTTTGTGTGCAGATTAAGGTCCGTGTTAATATGTGGCTATTGGGAGAATGATGTCTGTGCCCTATTCCAGTAGTTGCAGTTTGGGGGGTGTCCCCTTCCTCCACCCCTCTAGGCTATTTCAAAAGCGGTCCCCTCCTCTCCTTCCTTTTTGCCTCCCTCATCTTCCCCCTCCTTCCTTCCTGATCACTTCATGGATTGCAGCTTTATGGGGAGGGTGGATTTCATAAGAGTTTCCTGGAAGCATGCATTTGTCAACCTCTGCCCTGGTTAATTATTTATTTTAATTCTAATTTGTATAAATCATAAAGTGCAAAGTAGTATCTATATAAATTATATATGCACTTACTAATCCATGCAGTGTGGTGGCTTGTTGGCATGTCTGGGTTGTGACCCACCCTAAGCTGCCTCCTGTGTGTTGTTAGCTGGGAATCCAGGCCACATGTCTGATGACAGTGAATTACATTGTGCACTGACAGATGTTGTGAAACGTTTTCTGTGGTTATTGAAATGTTTGTTTTTCTGCCCCATATACCCTTACTATCCTTGGTTACCTAGTAGCACAATGTGCATGTTGTCATTCTATTCTTTGGTCTTTTCTTACATCCCACATGTCTCCTTGCATTGTGTGCTTTAGGCATCTGTCACAGCCTCATTCATCCGAGTCTTATTAGCAATATATGTTACTAGGTCTATTCCACTAACATGGTCAGTTCCTAGATTCTGGTTCCAGACCAGTGTCAAATGGCCTGCCCAACACCCAGAAAACTACCTTCTCTCATTGTGTCATTATGGGTTATATTCCTTTGCATCAACAGTTATCCAGTTCCATTATGGACAAATGCATATGCCTGGCCTTCTCCTACTCCTATAGTCCAGTTTGTCTTGTTTTATTTAACCCATGCAAAGGTTTATCTTAACTGTTGGAATCTTTTAATGGATAGCAAAAAAACGGATGCTGACAGCACCCCTTGGGCATTACAGGCTCCTGATGTCTGGGAGTAGAGAAGAAAATGTAATGTTTAATTCAATTGATATTGGTGAATGCACATAACCCTCTATTCTAGCTTGTCTCTGTAGATTGGAGAATATTCTGAATTACTTATATTGCTGTGATACAATATAATAAACAGCACTGCTGTCAGCACGTACATAAAATATTTTGTGTTTATTACATGTGTATATGTTGTTTTTATTATAAAATTTTAAAGTGTGATATATAAATTTGCCATTTCTGATATGATGGTACATTCCAAACTCTATCCAGTGCAATGCATTCCTTATTGATTGACCACGGCAGTTACTAGTCTTGCACATACAGATTTGTAATTTTATATATGGGGTGGTGTTGCTTTTCACACTCGTAAAATTAAGCACCGAAATATGGATTACAATTCTCAAAATTGCTTTTAATACATGTATTGTGACCCCTACACCTCTCCTTTTTTTTTTTGGTATGGGGCAGGGGTAACATCTTACTATGAATGCACTAAATTCCCTTTTCTGCCTGTTTTGATTCCCTCCCCGTGTGCTTATTTTTTTGTGCTGGAGTAAAAATAAGCTCAATTGCATTTTTTGCAAATTGAGCCCTGTCTTTAAATTAAAAAAAGTTGCAGCTTTGTTAAAAATGTTTCGTTTTTAATGTTGATCCTTCAAGAATATCTGAAGTTCCGTCGGCATGTATTGGCTAAGCACATCAACTGCTAGCTGTCCGCTTATGCGTGACATTGTTTTATTATTATACAAATGGTTATAAGTATCCCTTTAAACAATGAGGTGTATCCATGTATTTGTATCACTTGATAGTTTCTATCTTATCAGTCATATTTCCAACATGAGAGTAGAAGGCACAGGCAGACTATATAGGTACCCATACTATTTCATAACAATGAAGTGTTATGGGTGCAGTGTCCTTGTTGCTTTAGTCCTGCAATGTAAAACATTGCCAACTTGTAAATGTTTTCATTGCAGGGCTAAACACACCTCCTAGTAGCTCCAGAGGGTGCTTCTCCTGCAACGTCCGAGTCAGACTCTTATGTGGTGTTTGACGTCCTCACGCATTGCATGAGGATGGTGAACATCCTCAAATGATGATCATAGGGAAGTAATGAATTCAAAGCTTACCTATAAGAAGAACTTGATTGGCTGAGTATGGCTATTGCTGTGCATGTACTTCTTGTCCCCATTGGAGATGGATAGGAATGGAAGATAACACTGCCAGTGCAACAGCGTTCCCAAGGGTGGAGTGGCCAGCTATGGTGAAAAAAAGGTAAGTAATCCCTTTTTCAGTTCTTTTTTTCTTGCCCTCTAGTGGAGGGCTTTGAATCTAAATTGTACGTGAAACACTTCTTTTTTAGGAATACATGTTTGTGTTCCTAATGCTATAGTGTTCCTTTAATGTTTCAGACTTAATCGTGCATTTCTGTAGCAAACCTTATTATGAATGAGGAGCTACTGATTAACTTAAAGCAGTCAGCTTAACGCCCAGTCAGTCAGTGGCGCCCCTGGCAGATGCTGCCTAAACTGGAACACAGACTCTGGGGTTAAACCGTTCATGGAGGGTTTAATCCCTAAAAGTGAGCCAGGTACAGGGATCTCTTTGCATCATAAAAACTTTATTTTGATGGAGTTGATATGGTGCCCAGATTGTACCCTTTGAAACTAGTGGTCTAAGTGCCATGACCCTGTAAATTGAGATCAAATGGTCTGGGTGCCTGTAGTCTAATTTTAAGTCCTTGCATAATGATTGGAAATCGGTTGATATCTTCAATAATATTTCTTTGAAACTATCTTTGAAGTTGTGTGTCTTGTAGTTGCTTAGTTTAATGTGTAGGGTTTTATTTAAATATGCAGGTTTCCCATGCAGCATAATCTAGAGTTTACACAGTTAATGTGATCTGCTGAGAGGAGGAAGAGAGTTTGATTAAAGAATGTCTTGGTCCTGGGAATATCCTCTGACTCATGGCCTCTTCAGCCTGGTATACTTAAAGGAACAATACTAGGCCTTTATTCCCTGGGATGGTTTAAAGTTAAATGCAGCACCAAATATATATCTACATATATTTGGTGCTGCATTTAACCTTCAAACCATCCCAAGGAATATATACACACATTTTACTTTTCTCATTTGATTGTATTGCTTTGAGACTGTATAGAAACAACATAGTTTAGGGGGTAAGCATTTAGCAGGGTATGTTTGACTCTGAATTCCCATCAGCTTGGGAGAGTCACATTTCTTGAAAATATTACTGACTGTTTGTGTGTTGTATGTCTATATTTAATCTACCCCATTATTTTATATATATATATATATATATATTTTTTTTTTTTCCTGGCAGCTCATTTTTAGAATGTGGTACATTTTAAAACCACGCAATCAGATTTTTACTGATTAAATTTGATTTATGTTTATGACATTACATATTGCTGATATGGATAGTGGAAATAGAAGGAAAAAAATTGCACTTCTGTTCTCCTAGAAATGTGTTAGCCTGTTTAAATTGTCTTTCTTTGAACCAACTCATTTGGGTGGTAGAACTTCTGTCCTATTGGATTGGTGCTTTAACTGTTGCAACTTTATTGTAAAATGAGCATAAACGTACCGGAATTCCAACGCCAGGCGAAGTTACCCAGTCGGCTCTCCACTGCATAAGTGACGTGACCCCTTATGAGGTCTATATTTCACCAGCTCAGAGCATATGCATGTAATCTGGGGACAGTCAGGAAGGACTGAGGGAGGGAGGGAAGGATTTTTGTTTTTGGGGGGAAGGGAGGAGGCAGAAGGATTATCATATTATAAAATAAAAAGCAGATTAAAAAAACTATAGTTGGTTGGGGCGGCTGCTATCGCTATAATGAATGAGGAAGTAGTCTTCCCCTTGGAGCTGTGTTACTTCCAAGAGTAAGTTTGAGTAATTAATGTAATTAAACTGGTTTGGGTGCTCTGTCCCCTTTATCCAGTAGCTGAGAACAATGCAATTTTAGATATATTAAAAAGTTCAAAAAGGCTAAAGGGGTAAACACTGCTTAACTACCTCACCAGAAGACAAAGGACAAAATGGAATAGTCTACTAAATACCCTTCTGAACTGATGCAAAAAAGCTTCATGGGCCGGGGCCAATCGAAGTTACCAACAATAAAATTAAGTCAAAAGGAAACATTTTTAACATAGCATCTGGAAAGTGGTACTAAAAAAAGTTGTCTTTGGCTTGCTTTTTTTTTTTTATTGCAATTTTAGAGAAACTGCCATGTTTGTTTGAATTAAGAGAAGTGGAGAGGGGATTGTGGGATACTGTACTGTAGTATTCGTGGTGTCTAGTAGGAGTGATAAAGTTGTCTGTAAAGCAGGAACATTTGTTGACAGCCTGCACCCGTATAAATTAAGGATAATCAAGGGTGGTCTTTTCATCTCTTTTGACAGAGATGAAACTTCAGCACCTTGTCCCATATGTATAGCAATATCAACCTGGCACCATAGT